ATTGTAGAATATTATTGTGGTAGATTACTTAAAATATTTTAAAAGTTGCACAGAGGAAGGGGAGGGGAGGTGCAGAAGGGGTCAATAAAGCAATTTGTTACTACCTGGTTTTGCATATGTTTTATATATATATATATATATACATATATATATATATATATATATATATATATATATAAAACCCATGATATGTAGTAAAAATTCATAGTTTCTTATACAGTCATCTTCCTTGTTCTTCTTTATGTCATGGAGTTTTTGCAGTTGTTGATGGTTGAATAAAAACAACAAAAAGAAAGAAATATTTGCACATCATTTTCCAAGTTCTGTCCTATCAAATCCATGCCTTCCTTATAGGTACAATGATATCTCAGAGATCCAGAGCTAGTAGAGATCTTAGGGGTCCAACAATATGTAGGGGGTCCATAGCCTGCCAAAGAGGGGACATAGCCTAACCTTTAAACTAGGTGGGCCCTTCCAGCTGTAAATCTTATCCTACGACTGCATGTGTCTTCACAGAAGCTCCTTGTGAAAGTTCTCGTCAATATGCTCTCGTGTTTATCCTTCTGCTGCTGCAATTTGAATCCTTGCCCTGTTTGTATTTATCTGTGTGTCTATATTTGTGTATCTCTTCCTCCCTTCAGCCCAGATAATCATGTTTACTCTAGAGACAGGCAGCTCCATGTCAAGGAAACAGCTTCTAAACAGTCAGCATCATGTGGAGGAAGGAGCGTTGGCCTCAAGGTCAGGGCACCTGAACTGTAGTCCGGGCTTGGTCACAAACTGACTGTGGGGCCTAGGGCAAGTCCGCCTGTGTTGGGTTTCTGTTTTTCCATCTGTTTAGTGAGGGAGGAGGGAGGGGAGAAGGGTTTGTAAACCAGAGTGTTGTTGCATGTTATCTTGCTCATAAGTGTTGTGCAGAGAAATATGATAAAAATTGAGTGGCTTTCCAGTCCACGGTGTTCTCTTCAGATAAGCGCTTGTTTTCCCATAGACTACTCAGCTATTGTTCCCTATATAAAAATAACCCTACCTAATATGATGCAGTCATGGTCTGTGACTTAATTGGAGTACGGTAATTACTATTAGGAGAGGCTGCTATGGTAGAGTGGAGAGAGCACGGGTCCTAGTCAGGAAGCCTGCTGCTTCCATAACTCTTGACACATATTGGCTGTGTGACCCTGAACAAGTGCCTTAATTTGTTCCTCACTGTAGACTTATCTACTCAGTCACAGACAGATTGGTTGAGGGAGTTCCCCTACCAGGAATTCCCTGAACTGAGGAAATATCAACCCCTTTAGGTAATTACCATTTCATAAAATTTTCATTTTCCCTTTAAAATTGAGATTATTAAAAGGTTTGCTGCTGCTTTGAGTGCGATTTTATGTAGTTTTATCCCTCTCCTTTCCAAAAAATTATAGAGTAGCACAGTTACAATTTTCCAATGTGACTCAATGAACAAATACATTTTGATACATAAAAATCCAATTTACAAGCACTATGCTCACAGCTGTGCACATACATGTACACACACATATCCACACTTGAGTCTTTTCTAAGGAAAGAGGCAAACATATACTGTTCCTCACTTTGGAAGTGCAGATACCTTCTATATCAATTTGTTTGCCTTATTATTTATCATATAACTGATTTAAAAACTGGCAGAGTAGTTCCTGGAAATTTTCAACATTGGTTTTGTTATTTTTCCTTTTCATTTCTTTAGGCATCAGCCAGCTATTAACTAGAGACCTGACAGATTTATGAATACCAAGATTTATTCTATTTCAAGTGGTTCACATTTCCTCAAAGTCCAACCTAGATTACTGTTTTTAAAAACCAAATGGTATGTTGTCTGATTGTCATCCTTGCTGGCCGCTCTGTGACTTCTTGTAGCAAACAACCTATTATATCAGCAATGCTAACATCATATTTGAGATTCTGTATCTTATACTACTCTAAGTCGTCATGCTGGTGAGTTTAGCAGAAATGATTAATCTCCAGGAAGCTGTAATATCACAGCCGTTGTGTGAATGGTATCTGTGAGGCACACCACGTTGCTCATCACAGAAACCATGGCCTGGCCATCTCATAGGCTGGAGAGATCCCAGACAGTGGCAAACATTGGAAGATGAAGGGCATCAGGAACAGGAACCTGTCTTCTATTACTGTTCATGGACATTTGATCTGTGTAGCCAAGGTGGGAAGGGCATTCTGTCTGTCTTGCTACTTCCCTTACTCTCCTTTGCAGTCACTGCTCTGCTGGTGGGATCACAGAACTTAGAAATGGAAGGAAACTTAGAGATCATTTAGTCAGACTAGATGAGGAAAATGAGACATGCAGAGGTGAAATAACTTGCTCAGATTCACAGAGGTAGGAAATACCAGTTGATTCTCAAATAGTGCCAGGTGCCAGGTACCAACACTGTCGTCTTCTGATGAAGGTTGCCTCATAGCATCCATTTCTGGTAATGAGTATCCTTTGGGGGTCACTGCAATGTTTTGCAGAGAAACCTGAATAAGAGATGCAAGTCTGCCTTCGGCACAATAAAATTGTACTAATCAAGATGTTCAGGCAGTGGTGTTTTGGGGTTAATTGAATTTGCTAGTAAACTGAGCCATTGTAGTGGAGCCAAGGTGGTGGAGTAGGAGGAAGAAGTATAGCCCAGCTCTTCTGACACATCTGCACAAAGATCTAGAAAATGCATCATATCAAGTCCCAATCAGGAAATCCAAGGGGAAAAAAAATCAGAGTGAGTCATTTTTTTCCAGTGCAGGTTGCCATAGGGAGACAGAGAGGTTTGTGGACACTGGGCATTGAGTCTGGCCAGGAGAATGCCACACAGAGCATTCAGGGACTGAAAGAGGATGAGGCTATACCTTAGGGCAAGACAAAATCTCAGACCCATACCAGAACACTTCAGCCTTGTGCAGAGTACAGAAACAGTTGCCAAGTGGAAAGCTCTTGTTATTCACTACCCAGTTCTGGGTCATAGATCCAGGGCAGATTGAAGAGGGGACTTGTGATCAGGGGTTAGATCGCTTTGTCATCACTAAAAGATTACAGGCCCCCAGTCCATATATTTCTCCCAGAAGTGTGCAGAGCTCAGTCCTAACATCAAATCTAAAGTGAAGAAGTAATCTGGAAGAATGATCAAACAAAGAATCCCACCATAAAGAGCTATTATGGTGATTCCCGAGACACAAACTGAGAAGAGAAAAGCACCAAAATATGTACAAAACCTCAAGGAAAAACAAGGATTGGACACAAGTGTAATCAGAATTCCCGGAAAAGATGAAGTAAGAGATTATAAAAAAGAGCAAAAAATTATTTTAAAAACCAAATGAAAGCCCTAGAAGAGAAAAGTGGGAAAATAAATGAGAGTTATGGAAGAAAGATTTGAAAAGAGATTTAGCAGCTTAGAACAAGGTTTATAAAACCTTACCCAAGGGGGAAAAAACTCCCTAAAAATTAAAATTGACCAAATTGAAGCGAATGGCCCCATGAGACAACAAGAAATATTAAAACAAAGTCAAAAGATTTAAAAAATAGAAAAGGGGGGGTAATAAGGGTGAAGGAAATAAGTGTTTATTAAGTACCTACTATGTGTCAATGCTTACTAAGTACCAAGCACTTTACAAATACTTCATTCTATTCTCATAACAACCTTGTGAGATGGTGCTGTTGTTCCAATTTTACAGTCAAGGAAACTGAGGCAGATAGAGGTTGCCCAGAAGAGCATCTGAAGCTGGAATTAAACTCAGGTCTCCTGACTCAATCTTAGCACTCTATCCACTGTGCCACCTAGTTGCCTAGAAGAAAATGTTAGGTATCTCACAATAAAAATAAACATAGAAAATATATTAAGGAGAGCTAATTTAAGAATCATTGGACTAACTGAATTCCAGGACCAAAAAAGAGCCATCATATTTCAAAAAAAATCATAAAAGAAAATTGCCCCAACAGTCTCCTCCTCAAAGAAACCTCAAAATGAACTCTTAGGAACAATATAGCCAAAATCCAGAGCTTCCAAGTTTAAAAAAAAAATCTGAAAGTAGCTCAACAGGGATAATTCCATTATTGTGTAACCGTAGTTGGGATCATACAAGATGGCAGAGAGAATTTGGAATACCATATTCCAGAAGGCAAAAGAGTCAGGCTTACCACCAAAGATAACTTACCCAGAAAAACTGAGTATAATTCTACAATAAAAAAATGTATTTTTAATAAAACAGAAGACTTCTAAGTATTATTAATGAAAAGGTCAGTGTTGAGCAGAGTCACATATAAACATAGGAGTCAAGAGAAATATCAAAAGGGATTAAACAAGATAACTATTTATATCCTAATATGGGGATATAACATACATTTCCTCCGAACTCTATCGTTTTCACATATCAGGTCACAGAGAGAATCTAATTAGATACAGGGTCTGGAAATGGTTTCATTATGTTTTGATGATCTTAAAATGAGAATGAAATGGGAAAGATAGAGGAATACAATGGATGTAAGGGAGGGAAAAGAAGAATGGGTAAAAGTATCTTACAAAATTGAGGTATGCCCATAAGAGCCTATACAAACCACAAGGAAGGGATGGAAGGAAGAGGTGACCTTTGAAATGTACTCTCATATGAACTGGTCAAAGGAGGGAAGTATATGTACACAAAAATACATTTCACTCAACAAAGGAATAGGAAGGAAAGGAGAGAAGACAAAGGGGGAGATTAGAGGAAGGGCACATTAAAGGAAGCATTTTAAGGAAAACAGATTCTTAAACAGGACGAGAAACAAAGAGAAGGAAAAGTATAAGAGAATAATGTAGGGAAATGCATACAGCAATGATAACTGTGGATGGAATGAACTCTCTCATAAAGTGGAAGAGAATAGGCTAGATTAGTTAATCTGTGAGGTCTCTTCTAAATTTTAAGATTCTATATTCTCTAGATTCTCCCTGAAGTCTATTTTATTCCTTGAAGTTAAAAAGATTGTTTGTTTGTTTTCACAGAGAGAAAACCAGTGCCTGGCTGAAAACCAGTGCCTCTACCATCATGAGCTCTGGTAAGTCTGTTTGGAACTTTCTGGTTCTTCTTGCAAAGTAGGGTGGCTGCACAGTATTGCAGATAAGAACACTGGACTTGGAGTCAGAATTCTGCTTTATTTACTTACTAGCTGTGTGTTCCTTGGGAGTAGTTAATATTTCTCAGTCTCATTGTCCTTATCTATATTATATTACCCATAATACTTATCCCATAATTGTTTTGGGACTCTAGGGCAATAATGTGTGTAAAACACTTTGCAAACCTTAAAGTGCTATGAAAATGTCAATTATTGTCATTATGCTCCTCTGAGGCCCATGAGGCTGTTTCTTATTTCCAGTGAAATTGGCTAGCCCAAGTAGATGGGGCCCATAGCTGTTGTGAGTGTATTGGTTAAAGGGATGCTCAAAGGGAAGTATATCTTCTCCTTCATCCCCAGTGATGGAATGTGCCGTGGACATACTCCCAGTCTGCACATCTTCCTAAGATGCAAAGTGAAAGAGGAGAATGGTACGAAATACCAATGGCTTCAAGGGGGACTGCGGATATAATGTTGGTATGTGTAGAGGATGGTGTGTGGCCCATGTTTTGTCAAGCTGCAAAGATGTACCCATTTGGTTTGAAGTCAATAGATTCAGCCATCTTAGTAGCCCCAGACTGTCAGCTGTATCACAAAGGTCAGGAGTTTTCCATGGTGAGTATGCTGTAAAGAGGGTACAAGAGTGATGGAGGTAATGGTGGTAGGGTATCTGAGAAATGGAGCATTGACAATAGAAGAAGTGTTATCCCAGTCCTGGAGAGGCATCTAGAAATTGGTGGGCTTGGGCTAATTTGTTAGTAGGCATCACAGTGATTCCCAGTTAGAGAAGGGGAAAAAGGATGGATGGGGGGAAGTGGGGTGACAGCTAGGAGAACCACCACTGGGGAGCTGAGTAGGGGGTGCTGGATTTCTACTCTAAGATAATGGTTCTCAAAATCCTTCTTCTTACAACTCCATACCCAATCCTTCACCCATTCCCCCCAAAAAGGGTTGTGGTTGTAGGAGACTGTAGTATAATGGAACTTCAGTGCAATTCAACATTTATATATGTCTGGGTCTATAATTTAATTGGTATAAGAAACTTCCTCTACCAATGCAGCTCCACACTTGCTCTATAATTTATAGTCTTAGAGACTTGTCTGGGCCACTGAGAGGTTAAATAACTTTCCCACAATCACTGAGCCAGTGTGTATCAGAGTGGGGAGGACTTGAACCCAGATTATTTTACTCCAGGACCTAGTTCTCTATTCCCTTTGCTTCATGAGGATTTTGGGATCCTAGTCCTAGAGTTAGAAGGGTCTTTAGGTGCTATTGAGACCACCCTCCTCACTTATAGAGAATGTAATGGAGCCTCAGAAGGCAATAGATTTGTTTGACATTTTCATAGCACTTGTCAGAGGTGGAATTCGAACCTGGATCCTCTGACTCTAGTTGCACCTGCAGTGTGCTTTATGCTAGATAGTGGGGATAGAGAGACAAAATAAAAAAACAACAACTGATCCTTCTCCCAAGTAACTTACATTCTCCTGGATGTCTGGTGACAAAAGTCTGAGTGCTGGGTCTTCTCCTTACTAGCCATATGACAATAGGTGGGTATCAAAACCTTTCCTTATCTGTAAAATTGGAATATTACTGTTGTATTTCCCTCCCTGGGTAATTGTTTGAATTGTTTTTTTTTATTCTACTCTTGAATACACACAAAAAGGGGAGCATTTCCATGTACAAAGTAGAATAGAAAAAAGAGGATTATGTAGAAAACTACATGGCTTTATTTTTTAAAAAACAAGCTGGATTTACTGCGTATTTATTTTCAAAGCACCTCACAGGATTATTGTGAGGAAAGGACTTTGTGAACTGGGAAATGCTATGTAAATATGAACTATTATTATTTCTATATCTAGTTGAATGATCTCCTTTCCCCACCCCAAAATGCTATGAGTTGGTCTTAGGGGCTGATATCACCAAAAAAGTGTTTGTTTTAATATCCCTCATAGTATTTCAACATATTTGTTAAAGGATAGAAGGAGACTGCAGAGAGGGTGGGTCTAGATCAGAGGTGGGGAACCTTCAGCCTCAAGGCCACATGTGGTCCTCTAGGTCCTCAAATGTGGCCCTTTGACTGAATCCAAACTACACAGAACAGATCCTCTTATTAAAAACATTTGTTCTATAAAACTTGGACGCAGTCAAAAGGCTGCACCCAAGGATCTGGAAGGCCACATGTGGCCTGGAGGCCGCAGGTACCCCACCCCTGATCTAGATGGAAGAGAGTCTGGTTATTCGAGTTCATCTCCCCCTCCCCCCTCCCCAACATACACCTTCACTGCCATCTCCCAACGGATTGTTATTGGGTAACAGATTCACAGTTCCAGGTTACACAACTGTATCAGACATTCCTCTCAGTACTCTAGGAATGGTAACTCCAAGCTTAATAAACACTGTCTGAGGCAACATAGGAGTGGTTTGCAGATTGAACTGAATGTACTGCTAATCATCTCTTCTGTACTCCCTTGTTTTCTCTTGTGTTCTTTTTTTTTTTTTCAGAATGTGAAGTCGATATTTCCAAAACAGTGGTAAATGGGCTAACCTCAACCAGTAATGGTCAAGAAAAAGGTAGGGAGAATGCTGAGAACCAAGACCTACCATTGTGGGCATGGTACAGGAAAATACTTAGCAAGGAAGTATTTGTAATTTATGGTGAAGATTAAAGGGACCTTAGAATTTTGAAGGAAATCTAGACAAATTCTTTTATTTTACAGCTAAAGAAACTAAGGCATAAAAAAGGAAGGTGACTTGCCTCTAAGGTCATACCATTAAGCTAGTGGCAAAGATGGGAATAAACTCAGGTCTTTTGATTCTCACTTAGTTTATGGAGTGGTCCCCCAAGAGCCTGGCTCAATATTTCCCTTTGTGGTCTCTAAATACTTTAAAGTTTCTTATCTTTTCACCCAAACCCTGAATAGTAGAGCTAGAAGTGACCTTAGAGGTCATCTGGTCTACCCTGTTCAATTTGCAAATGAGAAAAGTGAAGTCTAGGGAAATGAAGTAACTTGCTCTGAGTTACACACCTTAAAAGTAACTGAGCCTGGCTTTGAACTCAGATTTCCAACTTCAGGTGCATGGCTTTTTTCTATTACACCACTAATCATTCTGTCATGAATCACAGAATATTCCATTTGGCAAAGAAGCTGAAATTTATACAGTCCAACTTTCTACTCAAAGAATGGAATCTCTTCACATCATCCCAACAAATGATTTATGGGACCATAGAGTTAAAATTGGAAGGGGCTTTTGAAGTCATTTTGTCCAGTTCTCCCTTTTTCAGGTGAGGAAGCTGAGGACTTGGCAGATCACAGAAGTACTGTGTAGTCTTAAAGCTTCAGGTTCAGTATGTCCACAGTGATGAGGAGTTTCCCACCTCATAGTTTTGGCTGACCCTTCTAGCCCAGTGATTTAAAAAATTATTGCCCAGATAGGCTAGGAGTCAAAAGACCCAGTCTCACCATTGGCTGAGTAAGACTTTAGGTTATCTAGTATGGTATCTCTGAATCTCATGTTCTTCAACTTTGAGATGAAAGTATTTATACACATCCCTCTCTCAAAAAGATACTGTGATGAATTGTGGTTAAATAAATGAGATATGGTATGTTTTGTCATTAAAAATAAAGTCACCAACCACAAATCTCTATTAAGAGGCATTCCCCCTCCATTCATAGTAGAACCATAAAATGTCAGTTGAAAGGGACCTTGGAACCTGTCTAATTTAGGTAGCTCATTTTCCTTATTAACAAGTAAGGAAACTGAGACCAGAGGCTCTTGCCTAAGGGTACACAATGACTTAGTGACATGATTAATGGTAATTGGTATTTGTAATGAATTGGTAGGATCCTGAGTCATTAAACAAAATTAAATTACATTCAGTGTAGTTTTGTCATGAAACATGTTATGCTCCTTTTGAGTCTTTAAGAATTAAGTTGATCACATATGAGAATGCTGTTTATCAGGATAATCACTGCATTCCTTATTTCTGCTTCTTTATGATAAAAATCCACAAGTGTTAACAACAGAGATGTCAGCTCTGCCATCAGGCTAGCACAGTAGTAGTAAGAACTATGTAGATGAATGTAGATTAGGCCCTTTTTAAAAAAATAATCAAACTGCAGACATCAGACTTTCAAAAAGTATGCTGGAAGGTTTGACATGGTTGGCTTTTGTTTGTGATGCTGTTATTCAAATTAATTTTCCTTGAGGGCCAAGGAGGTAGTTTGGCCCAAGGGAAGGGGACACGGGAAGGAGATGCAGCAGGAAGGGGCTGGTACAGGGGTGGGGAAAGTTTCTGGGGGTGTAAGGTGTTTGCTGCTAAAGCCTGGCCCTGTGGTTGCTCTCATTTACTAGTGTTAGGAGGGCTGTCCCCAGGGCTTTGAGCCAAGGTGGGAGAGGACAGAGCTGGGAAGTTCATAGGGCGGATGTAGTAGGAGGAGCCAGGGGAGAGATGCCTCAAAGCAGAGGAAGAAGCCTACAGGGAGCAGTGATGACAATAGCTTTGTACTCTGTGTGTGTGTGTGTGTGTGTGTGTGTGTGTGTGTGTGTGTTGGGGAGGGGGGTGTGCATCAGAGATCTTGCCAGCTCACTTCCAGTAGAGCCAAGGGCAGGGATGGGAGGGAAGAGAAAAGGTAGTTCATCTTCTCCCCACCTGAGTTCAGTTGGGAGCCTCAGGGAACCAAATCAGGCTAGGCAGGAGAGTGTTAGGGAAGAGAACCATTATTCTCCAGGTCAGAGCAGTCCCTCATTGGGAGGCTGGGGATGCAAATACACAGATAAGATGCTGATGCTCAAAGCTCTGTCACCTGCTGGGACCAACTCAAATGGATATAAGCTACTAGAGGGTCAGCCATGGATTGACCTTGCCCTCTCCTGTTCTTCCTTACCAATTTAGCAGAATCATCATCATCCTATTAAATAGTAACCTTGTTAAATAATAGTTGTTAACATAATAGGTTATGATTATTAATAAAGTCATTGTCGATTATTAATCAGCCAACACACACTTATTAAGCACATTGTGTCCCAGGCATTGTACTAAGTTCTGGGGCTGCAGAGGAAGACAAAAGATGGCCCCTACCCTCTATTCTGAGTCTCTGCCCTTCTCCACCCCTTTCCCACTGATTCCCCTCTGACAGCTAGTGTGCTAAGTAGTGTGGTAAGAAAATTTAAACCCCCCCCTCCCACCCCCGTTGGATGCTGGGTTGGGAGCATAAACAGATTGGTTTCCAGATCTCTCTGTCAGGTGCAATAAGAGACAGAGGAGGCAGGGGTGCCCCTTACCAGGCTTAGCATTGAATGAAGGATTTGGGTCGAATGGACAAGGAAGTACGAAAGCTAACTGAGGAAAACTGGGGCGGTGGGATTGGGAGTGGTGGTGGTTGCAGTAGCAGTAGGGAGGTGGACCCTAGATTCTCTCTTTCCCCTTTCAGTTGTCCCAGGCATGCTTGTCCAAAGCATTTCCTTCTGGGCCTTTCTCTCCAATTCAATTCATCAAGTATTTACCGAGCACCTACTGTGTGCCAAGCACTCTGCTGGGCTTTGGGGATATAAAGACAAAAAAAAAAAAGATTACCCTTGCCTTCAAAAAACTTACATTCTATGAAGGGCAGGTAGTGAGGCATACCATACATAAAAGACATGTACACAATAAATTCAAATTCATTCCAGAGACATAGCAACGAGAGGGAATCAGTGAAGCCCTCTTGTAGGAGTTGAGTCTTAAGGGGAGATAGGAGATTCCGAGAATCAGGGGAGATGAGGGAAAGTATTCTAGGCAAAGGCATGGAGATGGGAAATGGAGAGTTGTGTACCAGCAGCAGCAGGTGAGCCAGATTGGTTCGAATAGAGAATGCATGATTAGGAAGTAATGTCTAATCAGTCTGGAAAGATAGTGTCTGGCCTCAAATGCTAGACAGAAGTTTATTTTTGTTCCCAGAGGTAATGGGGACCATTGAAGCTTCCTGAGCGAGGAGTAGCATGGTCAGATGAATGCCTTAGCAATATCAGTTATGTAGTAGTTTTGTGGAAGGTGGATAGGGAAGGTGAAGAGCTATTTGGAGGAGACCCAGTAGAATATTGAATATTGAATCGGTTCAGGTGAGAGGTGATGGGGGCCCAAACTGGAGTGGTTGTGGTGTGTGTGGATATCACAGATGTAGTAGAGCCACTAGGCCTCCTCTGGTGGGGTGCCATGTTCTAGGGCAGGAATGCACTCCCCTCCCATTGACCTCCATTGTCTATCACCTTCCTGCTGTACCTTGCACTGGGAGCTGCCTGCATTTCCATGGGTGTTGTATGGAGAATTCTGCAGCTTTAATGCATGGGATCACCAGGGAAAGGGAGTTATTTTTACTTGTTGCATCTCCTACTCTTAGAATTGTTCTCTCTGTGTGTGTATGTGTAGTTTCCTCCTATTGTCATTGCTGATTTCCTCAAGTGCCTGAATGTTTCCCAAATGTTCTTTTGGGTGCACCATTTGCCCTTTTGTGTTTTCAGCTACTGACGACCCTTTACGTGCACGCTCTATTTCTGCTGTTAAAATAATTCCTGTGAAGAAAGTGACAAACTCCTCTGGCCTAGTCCTCCCTACAGGTATCTCTTCTCTCTGTGGGCATTGTGGTTTCTTCTCCACCCCCCTTCCCCTTAACCCTCCCCCCCCATCATGGATGTGTTTTACTTCTTAATCCATTCTAAGACACTTAGGCTTTCTTCACTTCCTTCTTTGCATGCTGAAGATGCTCTTTCCTTTTTCTCCTCTTCTCTGTCAGTCTGTCTCTTATCCCCTTCAATTTTTTCTCCACATAAGGGTATGTGTGAATGTGTGTGTGTGTGTGTATTTCCACGAGCCAGCAAAGTTCTGACAGTGACCAAGAGAATGAAAATTTCTTTGCCCGTGAGAAGGTGGTTCAGTTTGGGGGTTGGGTCACGGGTTCAAAATGAACCCTAGGGTGGATCTGATGGTCTGAGACACTTAGTACTACCCAGCATCTCTCATTTTTCCTATATTAGATATGAAACTCCAGGCTGGGTACAAAACTAATGAGATCTTCCAGGGATTTTCTGCATTGGGCTGAGTCTGAAGGGACTACTCTGGCTCTTCACCCTGACCCTAAACCTCCCACCCCAGGCCTGCCCTAGTGATTGTCTAGACTTGTCTCTTGTAGGTACCAAGCCATAGCCATGCCCATTAGGACATTTCCCAAAGCACATTTGCTTTACATACTCTTAAGGCTACCATGATTTCCTGCCTCTCGTGTCCAAGTTGTGAGTGCCAGAAAATGTGCTAAAGTAAAACAGCCACCAATCTTACATTGTTCAAAGATGGGTATGTGGTCAGGCTCTATAGACATTTGTCAAAGTTTATATCATTCCAAAGGGCAGAGCAAATCGATTTCCTAATTAGTTAACCTATAAATTGGCTGAACTTTCCCATCCTCCCCCTGGCTTTTTTTTTTAAATAAGAAAGAACCAGCCATGTTTTACTTGAATTTGGATGGGGTATTTGCTGTGCAGATCTGTCCTGACTCACAGTAAAACCAGCTTCTCATTGGAAATCAGAAAATGGACTCTTCTGAGTCAAAAGCAGAATAGAAATGTCTCACTTTTCTCTGACCTGGGGATGGGAAGGGAAATGGAGTTGGATAGATCAGTGCCCCCTACTCCAAATCAATGCAAACTCCCTGAAATGAATCTCAATCCCCTCTCTGATCTTGGGTCAGAAAAGGGAATAGAGGCAAAGCAGAGAATGAGGTAATTGAAGCTGACCATAACTCAACCTTGTTGAACAGAATCAACCTAACCTTCTAACCCTGTCTGCCTCAGGTCATGATCAATTCAGAGCACATTTATCGTGGCCTCTTTTAAAGTCTTTCCAAGTCAGATGATTCTTAAAGGTGTTTGGGCACTGCTTAAGGCTGTATGAAAATAAACACAGAGACAAGAGATCATGGCATCTCGGGCTCGTGCTTAGACGAGTTTGGAAGGTTTGGGGTTTCTAGATAGTTTCTTTTAAGTGACATTACTCCACTAATTCTCTTCATTTGAGGAAACTTTTAACACCCTTGAACACGATGCATTTTTTTCCACAGGTGACACTTATCTTCTGTTTAGTCTTATCCAGGATCTTGGCTATCTGGTCCTAAGAGATGTTTCTTTTCCCAACAAAAAACCCCCGAAGGATGATGGGTATTTCTTGGATTGTACAAGTCATGCATGACCTGCTCTACCAAATTAAAAGGATGGTCATGAAGCATGAAGAATCTTATTCAGTCCTTTCTCAATCTCAATAGAGAAAACACAGACTTAAAATGAATATCATCAAGGGAATAAACATGTTTACGTTTTAAAAACTGATTTAGCTCTCTGTAGGGGTCCTACATTTATTTGGATTTCACAGTTTGCCTTGATATTCCCTACCCAACCCCCACCTTCAACAAATATATTGTGAAAGCCTCCCAAGGAGAGATTTGTAGACAAAGGTTAATTTGCATCAGTAAAAGTGTTTGAAGGATTCACTGGGGTATAAATTTGTTCCATTGACTTCCAATCTGTTAGTGTTTTCTTAGCCAAGTCTACCCTGCTGCTGTTTTGCATTTTTCAGTCTTTTCCTCTGGGTCCTTTCTTTCCAGACATGGACCCTACCAAAATTTGCACTGGAAAAGGAATGGTGACCCTCCGGGCGTCTTCCACGCACAGGGAATCTCCGAGTGCCAGCCCAGTGAACCCCCAGGAGACCGGGCTCTCGGAAAGTAAGCCAGGTGCATTCTTTACTCTGGATAGAAGTAGTTCTTAAATTGAAATGGGATGATGTAGGGTGCCGTCTTGCTACTTTTTAAAGGGATCAGAAATATGTTATCTAGCTACCTTCTAGTACTCCTAGGAAGCACCTACCTCTCCAGCTGCTTTTCATTGAGTTTGGCTGCTACCATTACACAGTCTTAGATCAGTAGGTACCTCTGTGTCTCAGTGTGAATGCCAGCTGGCATTCTGGAGCTATGCCAAGTTTCTCTTTATTACTGCTAAGGGGAGGCAGGGTGCATATCTGTTGAGGACCCAGCGTTTCTGATCTCCAACTCCCAAAATGTGGGGCCTATTTAGGATGCAGCTGGGGTTGGGAGAATTGCTTTGCCAGGGCTTGGTTCTAAGGGTGGGGTAGCCCAGATCACCAGTGACCCAACCCCTGAGGAGAGCAATAGAACAAAACATTGGGCCTGGGAGGGATGGAGAATCTGGGGACCAGAGATCAATTCTAGGGTCAGCTTTGGAGGCAGGAAGAAAGGAACTGGATGGGTCAGGAAATTTGAATCTTCTCTGGAAGATGGCCAGGTCTGTAACTCAAGGGGGCCTCCCCTATTCTCCAGCCAAGGGTCCATAGAGTCCAAATATTTAAGGATTAGGAACAATATGTACTCTTATTCTGGAATAGGACTTGGCCAGAGTGGGTGGGGCAGTGGGAATGACAAGGCTAAAATCCCTCCAAGCCAGGTTATCTTTACCTTTTTTTTCTGTCATGGACCCCTTTGGCAAGCTGGTGAAACCTAAGGAATCATTCTCAGAAGAATAGTTTTAAAGGCTTGAAATAAGATATATAAGATTACAAGGGAAATTATATATATCATATATCATATAATAATATATAATAATATAATATTATCTATGTATCTATCTATCTATTAAAGTCCATGGCCTCTGAGTTAAGAATCCTTGCTTTAATCCTTCAGCTGTTTCTCAAAGGCCATGGCTTGAAGACAATTCACCATCTTGATTGCCCTCCTGGACGACAGTGCAATTTTTTCCTATTCTATGCAACATGGAGTTTAAGGTTCTTTTGCTATTTGGCAAGTCTCTGGCCAATCTCTCAGTCTTCATGGGTGCACCTCTGTTCC